CTCTCTCTCTCTCTCTCTCTCTCTCTCTCTCTCTCTCTCTCTCTCTCCGCCTCTGTGTCGCATTTCGTTCATGCGTTTAATAGTATTCTTGACATTCACCGTTTACCTTGGCGTTAACGAGCGGTCAAGTGAACCGAGTCCGCGCAAAATATACGCAATCATCTAGAACATCAACATGACGATTGTATTGTTTTCCCAACATAATACCGAATTCACACATGATTCAAGCCAGTCAATTCTTTCTTCTTTTTTGATCTCTTTTAATCTGCTATTAACAAAAATTGGCAATAAATTAAAGGAGAAAAAAGAAGTTATGACGAGATACGATGAGTGCGAAAAGTTATGAATTCGCGAAAGTTGGAGAAATAATGCATGTCATGTTCCACTGGCCCGATGTGTGTGTGTGTGTGTTTGTCTGTCTGAAACAGCGACAAAGGGACAGCAGTAAACAGAGAATTCACTTCCAATATATTTTGTTTTAACAATTTTTTTTAGTTCATAATGATAAACGATAAAAACCAGTTACGCTGTCGGCTACGAACGTTGCTACTACCAATGCAATTAAAACATCCGATGCGTAATAATGAATAAATCTACATTTCTTTTCATTTCGTCGGCCAGACGGTGACCGAATAGGCCGCGCTCTATGTCTTCACTTCTTGTGCGCATATTGTGCGCTGCTGTATTTATCATTTCACTTCCCATTCATAGGACCAATCTCACTTTGTACGGTACGCTGTTCGCCAATTTCACTTTTCGCACCAGCACCAAATTCCATAAGTTTACGCATCAATCACAATCGCGAACAATAACAACATCAACAACAAAATGAAATGAATTCTCCATGCAATTGGGTCAAGTTGGCGTGTCATTAAAATGAATATTCGGTTATTGCCACCGAACATTGTAATATCTCCATCAACACGATAAGTGATATATTTTTACTTATTGTCAATCAATTCTACGTGTTGCTGTTGGAATTTTTCTGGATTTTTTTCGGAATCTTGTTTGGATCTCTCCGTGCATGGTCGTTTTTATTGTTTTGTTCGCAGTGTGTTTTTATTTCATAGTGTGTTTGTGTTACCAAAAATTAATGAGACTGTACTTACCGTTGACAATTTTTCGATTTCTTCATCTGAAGCTCCAAGCGATGCCAAGCCGATTTCTTGCGAGAATTGTGCGAAACTTGGATCAGCCAATAATGGCATATGGCCCAAAAGTTCATGAATACAATCGCTGTGGAAGAGAGAAGGGGAAAATCGATATATTTAATGCTTCATTCAAAGTCAATTGAGATGACAAGATTTGTTCTGGCATTGCTAGGCTGCAAAAACTGCATTTTACTCTGAATCATCCTCAATCTAATGCAATGGATGGCATCTGCTGCTGAACTTGAGACGGAAAATCAGTACATAGAACGCAATTGAGCGGGGAAAAAAATGTCTCAAGTAAATCCGATTATGACATGAATTACAACGATGAAGATCTCATGTCGCCGAGATATGGCTATACCAAAAGTTCCATCAGGGAAACATTAAGCGACTTAAGTGAATTAAAATTGTTCCATTTTTTTTTTCATCTCGAATTTTTATTCGTTTCATCAATAACAAAAAAGCGTAGAGTATTTGCATCGCAATCGCTCCTTCGAAAAGGTGAGTGCCTGTGATTCTATTCGGTGCAGAACAAAAGAGACCAAAACTTGCCGTTATTATTTCAGTTGAAATAGCTTCACTGTGCCAGTCAAGTGAACATGGTTGATTGGTTCAGGCTTGACATCGGTCCTCCTTTTTTCCCTCAGTACGTAAAAACACAGAGAGCGAGCGAGAGAGGGAGAAAGAGTCTATTTCGTCATTTGCCAAGGGATAATTGAATCATATGGATGATTTGAAGAGTATCGATTTCCAGCATGAATTTCCTTTTACAAGCCATTTCGCATCGAACATTGGACAATGCAAAGTTATGTACGTAGTTCAAGAAAATTCAATTAGAAATTAAATTGAATTATATTTATTGAGTCGTTTAGTTGGCCTATGTTTCGACACAAAACTATCAAGCAACACGTTCATATGCTCAAAATGATTGATTTTCGGAGGGTTCCATTCTAGATACACATTTTGAACAAATAAAAAATTACAAAACAAAATATTGACAACAGCAAAAAGAAAGAAAAAACTAAAAAGTGCTCCGCAGCTCAAGAAAATAAATATTTGCGACACTTTGATCGGTAGTAAAAACAATGGATTTCGATTTATTGCATGATTTTCTCTTCACTTGTCCAATGTATGATTCTTTGGTGAAGTTTTTCACTTGTTGCGCGGCTGCCAACATCAAAGAATTTCCGGTTCTGTTCGGTTCGGCGTGAAAATGGGAAATACCAAATTTGCCTTATGCTCTCTTTTATTGTGTGCATACGAATGCCGTACGGATGTACGACATTACATCCACAACAATCCATACAGAAATGACGCATCATGGCAAATTGAATCGAATCTGAGCGAACGCTCACACAAACATACGCATCCAGTAAACGAATGATGTCAAAAAAACGGGAAAAATTAAGTGACTGCAAAAGAGCATTAATACCGTTTCCGACCAATTTTCCACTTCCATTCCCGTCGAATGGAAGCAGTGAGCCGAACATGGTCGTTTCCAACAATTCACTTTTGGCTCCTTCTTTTGTCGCACGCTCGCTGCCATTGTTGCTATCGGGTCACAGTTGCATTCTCTATATAATTCTATTCTCGCTATTGTCGCGTGCGTATTTCACTTGCCGTTTCAAATATATTTAAATTCATTTCACTTCAATGCGAACGAAGAAATTTTCTGTGATGGTACAAAGACAATTTTCCTTTTCGCTCATCGCCCAAGCAGTGGAAATCAAATGGCAATTGCGCGACGAATTCTCGACAGAAGTATGAGTGTGTGTGTGTGTGTATGTGTAATTTTTGCCACATTGGTAATGTCAATGCTATGATAAAGGCTCTCTCTCTCTCTCTCGCTGTCTCTCTGTGTGTCTTGGCAAAATAAATTGAATTTTCCGTGGCAAGAGCGGACGCGTTTGTGCATATATTCATTTCAAAGTCAGGCATCTTCGCTCAGTCTTATTGTTATCAAAGGAAGGCAGCACGCACACACAAAGAGAAAGAAAATTGTGTTGCTCTTGGCAATTGGATAGAAGTTTTTCGCCTTTTTACCTAAAGTTTGATCTAATTGACAGTATCTCAGCCTATTAGTAACTGTAACATTTGATAATTTACGAATCGAATTAAAAATTGCCCAAGTCAAATGCTATGGATTGAATGGTCTCTAGATCTTTCAACAAATACAATACAAATCAAGTAGGAATAGCAAAAGAAAGAAAGTTTGAATTTCAACATTTGCTTCGATGGATTATTATGCAGAGATTTCAGAGAATTTTTCATTTGGATTTTGATCGATCACACGACGGATAAAGTGAAATCGACTGAATATGTATATGAATATACTTACGGTTCTGGTGTATGATATGGTGAGTTGACATGACGAACATATTGTGTGCTTTGGAAAATGCGGAATGCCAACGATGCCAAGAAGTCACGAGCGGTTAGAAGACCAGCTGCTGGACGCAATGTGAATCCGGTGCTTTTACGCAAGAAATTGCTCATTTCCTCCAATTGTGGAATGCGATCCTCAACGAAAATGTTTTCGGCTTGAAGTTTGGCGAACACAGCACGGTATTCACCACATGCATGCTTTGGCATCAAATCCAATACGGTACGGAATACGGCGCGCCAGGTTTGGTTTTCAGTTTCAGTGTAATCAATAAGAGGAATTGCATCACCACTATAAAATGCCACAACAAATACACAATCGAGTTAAATAAATATCCATCAAAATAAAGAAGAAGAAGATGTGGGAGAAGAGGAAAGAAAGAAAGAAAAAGTGATATGCAGTCAATATGGATTCGGCTGTCATCATCATAATCACCATCAATGAAATTCCAAAATCATTTTCAGCACACATGCCGGGGCGTTATCGCACACCGCGAAAACACACACAAAAACCACTTCAGGTATCGGCGGCAGCATCAAGTTTCTTTTAGGTGTGTATATATGAGACAGGTTGTTTAAATTTTCGATTCAGTTTCCTTTCCAGTCTTTCGTGTTGTGACTGAAGATGCGTACGTGCTCAAAATGCATCATTCACTGCTCACAGATTATGACATCAAAGGTAAAATTCATCATATGATTTATCAATTTACGTTTAATCGGCTTGGATTTTCGCATATCCACTTTTTCTTCTTCTTTCTTGTTTTTCTCTTCTTGCCCACCATTTGAGACATACATAGGTAAATAGAAAAAAAGTGCGACTTACTATTTGAATGCAAATGCAATTTCAGCAATTTCTTTGCGTCGTTGACGATAGACTTTGTCAGCGAAGCCAGGATGGCTCATGTCCAATTCAGGCTCGTATTTGGTCATCAAATGGTTGCAATTGTCCAATTCGGATGCATGCTTTGGGAACCATGGTGCTTTAACATTGATTGAATTTTCAGCGACCAAATTAACGCCACCGAATGAATTGGTTTGACGCAATGAACGAATCAATTGCAACAAATTGGTTCGTGACATATCAACCTTGACGAGTACATCATATTGAACGCCTTCTTCATGTGATGGTCGCGATTCCAAATGAACAATTGTTCCATGGTAGGTTTCGATGGCTTTTAAAATGCGGCCTAATGAGCCCATACCTTCGCGAAGACGAACCACAATTGCGGCACGTTGTACGGCTTTCTCGGCCTCTGGCGATTCAGATGCGGCATTTGCAATCACAACTTCTTCTTCGGTGAGTCCAGCATCTAATGGGATTCAGAAAAGCAAAAAAAAAAAAAAACATGAACAAAACTGAAGTCATACATAACCTTTCTCTCTGCAAAGCGAATTAGAGTGCTAGTGAGGGAGAAAGAGGTAGAAAAAAACCCAAAAAGAACAAATCAAACGTGGAATAAATCCATCCAAATCTATTACATTTCATGTATGCTTTCATCTCATTGTTGCCGCTTCATTGTCCAACCGCAGTTGAATTTATGCGACTTTTGGCTGACGTCAAGAAGCGACTCTCTGTTTTTCTCTTCGTCGAATGAAAGAACGATATTTACCCTCCATTCATTTCTTGCTCAGAGTTTTTGGGCCAGAGTCGGAGAGAAAAGAAAGAACTAAAAATAGCATCGACATTGTTGCTTTGGATCAAGTGGTAACGGCACGCGCATAAAAATATGCTTTCGCCCTAATGTGAAACCATCATAAAAATTACACGTAATATTCTCTCCCGTTCGGAAAACGAAGGAAGAATGGAATTGGAGTAAAGTGCTTTAACTGTTGCTAGTGTCGTTCTGACGATTAAGAAAAGTATTAAATTTAAATGCGTATGTGTGCAGCATCCATTTGTATGTGTATGCGTGTTTCCACAACGGGCAAAGAGATTCACATTGCGGCGCGTGGGTATCGCATGCATTAACCAACTGGCAAATCCGTCATTTCATCCGAAGAAAAAGCCAACGATGGCAAATGTTGGAGAAATATGAGTGAATCAATTCATGTGAACAAACAATGGGGGAGTGCAGAGAGAAAAATTGTCATTGGCACTTGGACTCGAGACGAATCACGTCCAAAGGCGTTAGCCTGTTGCTTCTGCAGTCGAGCGTATAAAATGGAATGGTTTCAATTCGTTTTTCTTTGGGTTCTTCATGTCGCTTATACGAACGGGTAAGGAGTTTCGAGTCCATTTGGTAAAAGGTTTTCGCATCGTTTTATTGTTGCAATTGAAATGATGAATTATAGTTTATTATTGGAACTTCTTGACGTGCGAGTATATTTAGCGGTGGCCGAGATCACACCAGATTATGATTTAATCAACACTTTTTTCTCCTTTTGAATTTGTTCCACCTTGTTTTTTTTTCTCTTTAATTTCTTCCGGATTACCAGCCGATCAATTTAAACGCGTAAAATTATCAACTAACAACATTTTCTACTTATGTAAATAATTTTAATGAAGAAAAATAAATTACCATTTGGGCCATCAACTTCATCGACATCATTAGCGTAAGTTTCATTATTCAATGGGATATCGGCTATTTATATAGATTTCAGTTCAAATCAAGCGCCAAACAAACACAAAATCACACGTCGAAATCATAGAAAAAAAGAAATTTGCAAATAAACGAAAAATCAAACCATAAGCAAATGCAAAAGAACAAAATGGAAATCAAACGAATGAGAAAAAAAAACATAAATGGAAATCAAAATAAATACCATTTTCTTCAGTTTCATCATTGAACACTTCAGGTATTTCGTTCTGAGCATCTTCTGTGCAATAGAAAATGAAACAAAAACAAAAACGGGGGAAAAAAGGTCAAATGATGATTAATTAAAGTGAAAACCCATGAAGACACAGAAGAATTCTGGAGAAATAATAATAGTTACCATCGTATTTGAATTGCTCTTGAGTATTGGCTTGAGTGACACTGCTTGTGTTCAAGTCTGAATCGAAAGTAAAATTAAAATTAATAATCAAATTACACAGTCCAACAAAATTCGGGTCATGGAAAAATGACACAAAACGGCATATCAGACATGAAAATATTTTTATAGACTAGCAAAATTCCGCCGGTGTTTTGGATTATTAGCTCGTATAAGAAAGTAATGGCCATAGCAGTTGTTGTTGCTCAGTCGATTCATGGAAACAGTAATATTTCATGATTGGATATATTCCATATCAAAGCTGATGATCACAGCTAAATGCGATCCATTTATAACGTCTAGTTGGAAAGTTATCTCTCTACAAGTGATGACATTTCGATTTTTTTTCGTGATTTTCGCACTAGTCATCACTTGAGAACAGATGTCATAGAGAGATCGCATTATCCATATTTTTTAGGTAAGAAAAATAGCTGTGACGTACAGTTAAATCTGAAATATATCACCCGTCATGACATAATTTGGTTCAATGTCCACAAAATCCCCAAAAATGAATACAAAAATCAAGTTTTTCTATTAAAGATTATCTCTATGGATAATTCTAACATCACTGCAAATGATGCAAGCATGTTTTTTTTAATATTTGAGTTGAATAAACTCATTTTTTTTAGAGCAAGTTTGGTTTTTGGATCCATTTTTGGGGATTCTGTGGACATTGAACCAAATTACGTCATACTAGGGGCTTATGACCATTCGAAAAAATTTGAAAATTACGTTTTATTTATGAAATATCTAAAATCCAATAAACATTTAATGAATAAATATTGCATTCGCACGAATTTACGTTAAATTTGAAACATTTACACACATTCATTTACATTCGTGAGGTTTTTCGTCGAAATCTAATAAACTGTAGTAGAACTGCCTTTATTGCACATTCGGAACACTAGTACTACATTGAGCAGTATAAAGTGTCAGAAATAAAAAATGAAAGGTTAAAATATAACTAAAATTGCCGTTTCAATGAATAATCACAACTGCATTTTCTGAAATTCATAACTGCATTTTTGAAATCACAACTGCAAAAAAAAACAACAACAGCAGCTTAAAATAGCCATTGTTCAGTGTTCAGTAAAAAATGTGAATTTCTGTACAGTGTACGAATATTGCATATGTTCTGAATATTTTTACAAATGCTGTGAATGTTATGAATATTCTCTGAATATTCTCTGTACACTTACACAGAAATTTGATTTTATTTTTTTTCTTTGTAAGAATATTCATAACATTCACAGCATTTGTAAAAATATTCAGAACATATGCAATATTCGTGTCAAATTCCGATATTTGAGTAAACATTTAGATATTCATTCGACCGAATTTTTTGTCATATGCCCCTAGACGTCATAGCAAATGATATATTTTAGATTTAGCTGTACGAAATTTTAAAGCTGACCTTTTTACCAAAAAAATATGGATAATGCGATCTCTCTATGACGTCTGGTTGGGTAGTTATGTCTTCTTAAGTGTTGACTAGTGCCAAAATCGCGAAAAAAATCGACATGTCATCACTTGTAGAAATTTTTCGACAAATGAGTGAATTTTTTCACTAAATTAGCTTAAAAAAAATTCGTCCAAGTTATCTACAGAGACACTTTTATCTTTTTTAAATCCAAGCGAATAATATGGAAATATATATAGATATTTGAAAATAAAACGCGGGGTTTTCCTAGTCTATAGGAATACTTTCATGTCTGATATGCCGTTTTGTGTAATTTTTTTTGTTGCACTGTATTAGCAGTTGAACGAAAAAAAACTGAAATAAAAATAAATGCGAAGATAAGTGGTGCTTGACAAAAGTTAAACCCGTTGTGCGCTATAGAATTTTGGATGAATTTGAATGGCCAAAAAAAAGGAATCGTTTAAAAATTCTGAATACTCTTGTTCTAACACCGTGTAGTGCGTTTTACTTACCATTAGCCTTTTCGCGAGCCTCTTCAAGCACAGATTCTTTGGTTTGCTTGACCATGATTGTTTCAAAACGAGCATCATCGACAAGTGAACGACGTCTCGATGGATATCCATTCTGTTTGATTTGAAAAGAGATAACAACACACAATTGTTGAGTAAATGCAAAATTACTTCAAGAACATCATTAGGCGCGAAAAAATGACCTTAATGCATTTGCGCAAATAGAAATATACGTGCTTGCACACAAAAGCGAAAGCGAGATAGAGACGAAGGATAAATTTCAGACCAAATGAGAATGAGATCTAGATCAATAGAATAAATATCATTGGGACGACTTTGCGCTTCGCGTCTGATTTAAAACATACGACAAGTGTCATTTACAGCGACTGTTTTTGTTTGTTAATTTTCATTGTGCATTTCATTTGGCACCGTTGAAATAAAGCTGTTGAACATTCATCATGTGATTGTCAACGATGTGAGAATATGGAATGAGAGGGAGAGAGAGAGCGCGCTAACTTCAAAACTGAAGCGAATACCGACGCTATAATGAACGCTAAAACTCTATTAAAATAATATGCAAATCCAAAATAATAAATTTCGACGAGATACTATGATAAATGTCCGTTGTATATGCGAGTATGAAATCACACATCGTTTGTGGTTTTGTTTAAATTGAGTATATATATTTATGGAATATTTGTTGACTCTAAAATTAGTTTTTGTTTATGTTTAAAGTGAGATTGGTTGGCGCCACCAGAATTAAAAATATTTTTAAGCCCAAAGAACGATCTCGATGCTCATTCGGACCGAAGTTTTTTAGGTGCAATGGTTTCTGTTGCCTATTTTGCCATTGCGTGAACTCGCCTTTTTTCTGTTTTGATTCTGCCGCATTTTAAAAACCTTCCCTCCCATCAGAGGGCAGAGAGTATGGGAACGGGCCAATATTGTTATCGACAGGTGAACAAAATAAATCAAAAACATGAAAACAATGCAGCAATCTGAGTAAAACACTCAAATGAGTCAATAGATTGAATGATGATGCCTCGCATGCCTCGTGTCTTCATCGATTGAAACCAAATGAAAATGAGAAGTGAAGTGAGAGAGAGAGAGAGAGAGAGAGAGAGAGACAAAAAAATCCGGCACATCTACATGTTTGGCAATTGTGTACCTGGTGCTGTCGCTGTCAATCAGGTCAATGGGCAATTAAATCTATTATGCATAAGTACTTAAGTAGTTCACAGTAGCATATACAACGCACATGTTGCGGACATATCAGTTAGACTATGAACTACGTATGCACTGACACATGGTCGTTCTGTGTTTTCTATCGCTATCTCTGTCCCAGTTCTTCTGTCTCTATTGCTCTTTATCGGATATTGCGAATTTATGAAATGAAAAAAATTCACAAAATTTCAATGTTTCGTCTATGACTCTGTCATTCAGCAATGCGGAATTGTCACCAGGTAACTGTGACTCATTGTTTTCAATCGGTCAAAGCACCGATTGGGTAGTGTGTACATACCAATAATCAATTGCAAACGTTTACACCCGTGCCGAGTGAGATGAGACACGGAAAAACAGTCATCATCTCGTTGAAAACGTGAGTTTGACAAATGCTTTCAAAACAAATCGATAACGGCACGCAAATTGAATATTCTCTGGGTGGATGAATATGTTTAAACAAGAATTTGTAGAAAAAAAACACACACACACACACACACGAGCCGAACAGTTAATTTACAGAAATCAATAAAGCGCGGCACGACACAAGCCAAATGTGGCTGGTCACGTAGACCAAATCCAGCTAAAATATGGATTTTTTCCACATCATCTTTAAGTTTTTTCTTTGTCGGTGTCATATTTTTATGTGGGGTCTTGAAGAAAAATTCATTTTTTTTTATCAATTAGCAATCCATTACCGTCAAAATCAATATATTGCTCAATTCAAATATTTTGTCTTTCACTCATATGAACGTATTCGTATTGCATTCCATATCACGAGACAAGCGCACGGCGGTCAGTTAGGTTCGATTGGAAATTAAGGTAACGGAGGAGATATAAGAAAGAAACACAATATAGATGACAAAACAAAAGGCTGCATGATGAAAACCAAACTCAAATCGTAGTCATACCAAAGCATATTAAAGCCAGGTACTGCGATTTCGGTTTCACTCTTTTAGATGAGCAAATATGTGCTTAGGTTAGACCAACACACCAAATAACATACATCGAACTCATAGCAACAGAAAGTGCACGAAACTGTTCAACATATGGTTTTGTTTTCGGTGTTATTCATTGGTGTTGCCGTTTGCATTGTCGACCAATGTTGATCGCGAAACTTAACGATGAGAGAGAGAGAAAAATGATGAAGATTCAAAAATTCATTTCTCACATAGCGATCGTATGCCATTTTAAATATAAACATTATTGAGCAGTAACGGTCGATTGATGCGGCGAGAGACAAGAGGAGAGAGAGAGAGAGAGAGAGAGAGAGAGAGAGAGAGAAAGACACGATAACAAACAAAAATGAGGTAAATTTGGTGAAATTTTTCAAGAAAGATTTTTTTTTCATCATTACTTTTCGTTACGTATTGATGAGATGCTGTTGTGTGTGATACACAGCCATATGTATATGAATGAATATTGATTTAATTGGCTTACATGTGGTGCAACAGAAGCTCCCAACACCTTTTGATTGTGTGTGCGAAATCAATAAAAAGATTTTCGATTCATATTATATAATGGGATCAGCCAAATGCGTGTTTTAACTATAAATATGCAATTTTCGTTAAGTTGAAGCCACACTAATGGGTCTTCATCGTATGAAGAACATGAACAATTTGTTGTTATTGTTGTTGAAATTTCCAACTTCTTATCAAATGCATTAGCAGCACAAAGAAGCTATCGTTCTGAACATTTATTGAACACACAAAATAATTCTGAGGGAGAAAGTGATCTTTGATTCATTGATTCGTTTTTTTTTTCAATTGAAATTTTGTTTGTAGAAATTTTCAACAAAATGTCACGGTTTGAAGAAGAATTTTTCAAATGCGTATGCATCATTTTAAGAATATCTGTGAATGACCAATTCGAAATTATTTCATTTCGTCGTGCTGTTTTGTCGTCCAAAAATTAGCAAATCATCTTTGTATCAAGTGAATAGAACAAGACAGCAATCAATCGTTAGAACATTTCGAAAACCGTTTGGTTGAATTTGAATTTGTGCATGATACATGCTAAATATATTCTTGATTTATCTCATTTTTCTCCGACTATAAAATTGTTTTGTTGAATTACGGCAAGTGCAAAATTGAACGAAATAGAAAATATCGAGAGAGAAAGAAAGAAAAGAAAAAAGAAAATGCGCTCCACTTACCTCGATGCTGTATGATTTTTTGATAGCGAACATTTCGCGGTTTTTCTGAGCTGCTGCAACGGCCATCATTTTGGTAGTTTCTATTTGCTCTTTTGTGTTAACGGACAAAGAAAATTTGTATAAGAATGATCTCGATTTAATCGATGAATTCAAAGTAAATCACTTCTTCGAATTAACGAAATCACTATGGGTTTCCTCGAGTTAAATTGGTCACTGCGTTGATACTCTCGCGATTTTTAAAATGCGATTGTGCGCGTTGAATTTGTGTCTAAAAATGCTTTCTAGATCACTAACTTCGGTTGTTTTGTGTTGATTTTAAATATTCTCGGTGTAACGGTGCCGGTTTAATTTAACACTTTGTTTTTTTTTTAGAAATATTTTTAAAATGAAAATTGATTTTGCGCCTGTTTAGCAAATTTTATTACAACAAATTCTAGCGTTTCTTCTTTTTATTAAAACAGAAAAAATTAAAACTTCTTTTTTATTTATGTCTGCTGAGCGAACGAACAAAAAAAGGAACTTTTTTCTTGGGTCGTTTATCTTTTCTGTTTTTTTTTTCTCGAAATATAATGTTTATGTTGCGAGTGCAAGCAAACCAATGCAAGATCGTTTCGTTTGCAATCAACTTAAATACGAAAAAGCGCTCACATGTCTCCGAACAACGCAGCATAGAGCTTGAACTTCTCCACATACATCCACCACACATAGACACGCACACGAGCTGCTTGGACAGCGTGCGCGCTCGTCTCCATGCATGTAAGTGTGTGTGTGTGTGTGTGTGTGTGTGTGTGAGTGTTTACTTTTGCCTTTGAGTCGTGCATGAACTAAGCTCTCGCTGTGCACGCAGAGAAACATAGCTTTGATTCAGTTATATGCCCCCTTCCTTGGGATTTTTTTTTATTTCGTGTATATCGATATATGAAGATATTCATGAACCGTCAAAAGCGAAAAGCGAACGTCACGTAGCGGGCCACTTGTACGCATCGGGTCCGATGCGACACACACACACATATACACACACACTCGGTATCGCTGCTGGAATGAGATTAGTTTTGAACGCAAAAGTGAGATAGAGAGATTTTAGAGCCAACACAAAAGATGGAATCGGCGTTCGTGGATTGTTATTTTCATAATGTGCGTGTCAAAGTGGTAATCAGAACCTTTACCATCGAATCAATTGAGGAGCTTCGTTTCAGAACAACCATCTCGCCCTTCAATTACAACCAACAATTCAACTGCATATCATCATTAGAATAGGCTAGAAAGGGAAACAACGATTGAGCAATTGTTCGTTTCATTTCGACAGTTTTTGTATTTGTTTTAATTTAAATCGATAAGCACACAAAGTAAGCGGCATCAACGTCATTTGCAATAACATGGAGTACAATATAATAGCAGCAGCAGCAACAACAACAATAATATGATATATCAATAGGAATCGCATGGTCAATAACAAGATATTTGAACCGCATTGCCTGCTAGCGTTGCGTGTTATCTGCTTTTTGTCACTCTGTTTTGTTTATCTTGAGAACAATTTTATTGTCAAAATACCGAAAGCGATGGGCTTTTTTGTTGATCAATATGTGTTGTCATTTCGACTCTCTTTCTCTCTCCCTGTCTTCATTGGTTTGTATTTAGGCGGACGGTGAATGTGTGGTTGTGCCGCATCGTTCTGTCATGTGCCATAACTTTCAATACAGCGGCTAAAGATCTATTCGTCGAACACAATCTTTCGCTCAGATGTGATGTCACACGTGCGTCACAAAATTTACGTTTGGCCTTTTTTTACCATTCCGATGAACGAAAAAAAAGCACCGAATATCAATCTATTTCGCTGGAATTCATACGCACGCTGACCGTTGGCTGGTCAACATATTGTTGTTGTTGAAGTTACCGTCTGCCGTCTGTTACCATTTTTCGCTGTAAATCAATTTTGTTGTTTTCCATTACGTGCGATCGCCTAACACGCATCTTGATCACAACGTTTTGTTGATACCTTTGATACTGGCATACAAACCGTTTTGGGTTTTTTTAACTCTCGGTCAAATTAATCGGTTTATCGGCATGGGTCATCTTAAACTTGAATAAACTGTTATTAGATTTTTATTTCTATTTTGATCGGAATTTTTTCAAAATGCTATTTTCAGTTGTCATGAGAGAAGTCGCACGTTCATTTTTTTTGCTTCTATTTTTTTATTTGGATCAACACCGAATGTCCGGGAATTGCGTTTTGAAAATTTTATTTATTATTTGTGGTTGATTGAATTGGATTTTCCCTACTCGGCACACAAATACATGATTGAATTTCGATTTTCCCCCAAAGAAGTACATTTCCATTGCTTGTGATCCACAATCAACTATTTGATCATGTATTCAATCGCTGACGACTATTTTGAAGCGAGAGGGAAAAATGTCGGATTTAATTGATCCAATTATTTAGAACAAGCTTTGTGGTTAACGCATTGATTCGTGGTTGGATTGCATTTGAGTCATTGCATATTTCCCGCTGACGTCATACACACGCCAACACTTTACTCTCTCGGACTTTTGAACCATAGCTATGGTGTGATTGACACCAAAAGCTTGTACGCAAAACGTAAATTTCGCTCTAGAGAATCATCAAAATCACGTAGAACGCTTGCGTTGAGTCCATTTCTTCGGAATCACATCGTTCGGATGCTTTGTCCACTTGATTGTGATTGATGCTGGTCAACATCATTGTGATGCGGGTCATGGGATTTTTTTTATTGAAATTCACCAATAGTCACGTGTGCCACAAATTTCACTAGAATTCTGAATCGACTGAACGTTAAACGCGCTGCTTTTCGTTTACCTGTGTCCATATCAGTTGTGAATGAATTAGCTTTTGATTTGATATGATTTCACGTTTTATACAGCCACATGAATGCAGAGAATTGAGAATTTATATGCCTATGATAGATAATTTAATTAGCCTGAATTGTAGCCGATCTATGGTCATAAACATAATATAATTTAGTCAGTAGAGGAAAAGAGACGATCTACTTTATGAGTCATCCGATTGCCTGGATGAGTCATCCGATAGGTTCGACTGGAAGATCATTGGCATCGAATAGAATGAAAGTGAGTCTTATAAGGCCATTACATTGAAAACCATTGAAAGAAGCGAGTACATCGTGCGATTCACGCCGAAACAATGCGGCAAGGTGAGATATGAGGCACACAAGAATCATATTTTAAAGCCAATTATTGGATTGTGCTGAAGAACACGCGTGCGCATATCGAAAATTGGTTCTCACCACACAAAAAAGCACTTGATCTTGAAAATTCACTCATTTATTCATTTACTTTACAATCGCCAACGGAGGCGAGATGGTTCAATGCTGCTGTCGTAGTTTTTTCTTTGTTCCGTTCTCCCCATAATTTTCTGTTCAATTTACTAACACCATTGGCACAGTCTACGCTTATCAAAAGGCAGTCTCAAGAATCAAATAAAGAATTATTTAACAAGCGTGACAAGTGCAAGTTGAAAAAGTTCAATTCTTTCAGAAATCCACCGCACACCATAGCTGCAGGGAAAAAAAGAGAAGAGAAACGACAGCCAATACCACGGACTGTATGTATTGAGCTAATGATATTGGGCTCAGTGTGCAGGCTAAGTTGATTGCAATAAATTTAATTGATTTTTGCATGTTCATTCTTTCGTGCACATTTAGTCGTTGCCGTCTCGTTCATTTCGTATTGGAATCACTTGTCCACACACACAAAACAAAGGAGAGAGAGAGGAAAAAAACACTTACCAACTGCAATTCAGTGTGATGTACTTTTATGTACGAACCTGTGCCGCATTTAATGCCACTAATACAAATTATATACATAAATAAAACAATTTGATTACTATATTTGCGACTTTATGTCTCATCTAAATCGTTTCAAGGTTTTCATAGCATTACCCATTTATGTTTCTGTGCAAAAAGTGCGCGCGCGCACACACGTCGGCCACCTCGCGATCTCGGCGTACTCTTCAAACGTACGAACATCGTTTTTTTTTGCACCGCATGCACGCGCACTGTAATCAATTCTCTTCTCATACACCATATTTTTCTTATTGTGTATAGAATTTACAAAAAAAAACATGAATTTAACGAGTGAATATGATAAAAAATATTTTATATTAAAGCATTGTATTCACACGCAAAAAAAAACAAATCATTGCGAAAATAACAAAAAAAAATATATGAAAAACGGATCGGAAGCGTAGACCCATCACGCCAGCTCAACTGAGCAATAAAACTAAAATTGAATCGGTAATTAACCGAAAAGAACGATTGCAAGCAAATGTGGAACAGCGATTTTCACGCTGATTAACAGTTAATTTGACACTTGCACGAATTCGCTAGAGCCAACTCCTTCGTTTTGTTTCCAATTTCTGTTTTTTTTTTTTTTTCTTCGTTCTTTGTTTCATTTGCTTTGCAATTGTTTTGGCTTTCTAGCAGAAAAAAAAATTAACAAATCAATTGATTCATCTAGTGTCATATGGTGCAGTGGGCGAGCGATCGCGCACACAAAACACAAATATATACCAAAGCGTGAAGGTAATCGATCTTTGCGATCGCACTCAAGTCCAATTTTTCAGCAATCACTTTGAAGCGCGCTGCTTCGGTCAAAGAACCGCGTATTTGGTAAAATCCGGTGATTTTATTTCGAGAAAAAATATCGCACCCAATGACAAGTATTTGATGAAAAAAAAAAACACACACACACACACATAATATATGATGACAATGGCAATGTCAACGAATGGTAAATCATACCAAGTTTGTTGCGTTTTGTTTGCAATCACACTAGACATAAAAGGAAAAAAGAGAGTGATAAAAGGAGAGAATCACTGAAATTGGTGTAATCAAAAGTTTAAATTCTTCGGCCGTATGATGCAGCCGTGTCTTGTTAGTGTTTTTTTTCAATTCGGCCATCGATGACATAATTCCATTCGAATGTGCAATCGCTACGTTTTGAATTGTGACCTGAATTATCGTTTGAAAATACATCATAATCATCGCCATTGTGGCGTTGGAATTACGAAGACGAAAAAACACCGACTGAAAAATGATTTAGCATGTTTGATTCGCTTTGCTCTCTCTCTCTCTCTCTCTCTCTCTCTCTCTTTTAAATTAATAGACATCTACCTGAAATCGAATAAAAACAGCAACGCCTAATGGAATCAATTACGACATTGTTCGGTTTTTGACCCATGTTTAGCAAATGTAAAATGTGCACTCACGTTTCGGAAAGAAGAATGAGTAAAGAAGAAGAAGAAGCAAGAAAAAACTAATCTAACGCAAGAGTAGAAAAAGGCCACATATATCCATACGAATATTTAGCCAAGTACACATTTATTCAGAAATTTTACGATTCATGTGTTCCTCTCGTCCAGATTAGAAGCCGGACATCACACCAACATTCGTGCATATCATAAACGCTGCAGAATAGGTTCAATGTGAATGTTAACCTAGTGACTTTACCGAATATAAAAATGGCCATAAAACTCGATTTAATTAAACGAAAAACATTGAAACTAAACTATTGAACCGTTGGTAACAGACAAGACTCGGAGGTTAGCTATGCGAAAATGTGGTCGTTTTTTTTTCGTTATTTTTGTATCAGTTCATTTTGTGAACGCTTTTTTCAGGTGCAGTTTTGTTTCATGTTCCAACTTCTTTCGAAAGGAAATAAATTTATAATAATTGATATGAAGAACGTCTCTTTATTCTAGTCCAAATATCGTGTTAGTAATGTGTTTTTTTTTCTTTTGAGGTGACGGTAAGTTTGAGCGGAAAATGGTTGCATTAATGCAGAATGAAAGAAATAAACAGCAAGAAAGAGGGCACGATCCGAATGATATTGAGATTTGGTAGTAATTACTGTTACTAAACATGTGGTCAACAAATAACAAATCTTGTTGGAAAAAATGTGCTTTACTTTGCAAAATTTATTGGTGATTTTAGCAATAAAAAACACATACACACACAAAACAAAGCCGCTGTGAATAAAATTCCGGGTTCTTATGTGTAACCACAAATTACCGCTCGCTTTAAACTCACATTTGGCCAATTAGATAAATGATCTAATCAACATTAAATGTTAATTGAGAGTCAAAGCATTTGATTTGCATGCTTATTATCGGCTTTAGTGCCAATGTCTACCGGCTGCATTCGCCGGGCAGCCGTATTAAAATTTGGCTGAAGATGTGTTTATTTTGGTGAATAGACATAGAACCGCATTCTCATTATAATCCAGTGTTAACATAGAATATACGTCTGGACGCAAGTGCAAGAGTCAATGTCCATTGCCATTTAGTCGATCAACGTTGGAATGGGAGTGAATCAAAGACAGACCATGATTAACAGCAGCTTAGGATTTTTTTTAATATTCTAGAATGACAGCTTCGTTTTTTTTTCATGCAAAAAAAACAACAAGATTTGAAGCAAGAAACACTTTTAGTTTCATTGAAGAAAGAATCTTGAAACAATGATTCGCTCACTTAAATTGAAATTGAGCATGTTTTTTGCATTGCGCAAAAAATTGATCGATTTATAACAAAGAAGAGGGGAAAAAAACCAAACTGGATTGCTAAAATGGTAGACGATGCGTTGAAACATACAACAATTGATTCACCACGTAAAAAACGAAGCCAATTCAAAACACAATTTTCACTACGGTTCGTAATAGTCGTCATCAAGCAAATGTACACGGCACAAAGAACCAGTTTTGTACTTGCGGTCAACTCTTAGTTTCTTGTTTAACATTACGATTTAATTTTGATTGAGATGGTGAACGAAAAAAAAAAAATAAACCTGCATCCAATTGCTTAGTGCTTCACTTGTTAAATGTAATCACATCATTTGTCATTTCATGCGATTCTGCACTTATCTTGAGGATAGAAGAAAAAATCCGCTCACATTCTTTTTCATTGAATAAATTGATAAGAAAAATGAAGAGATTTTTTGTTGTTGTTGTTGTTGCGATGAGCTGAATCACTTTGTGTTCGCAAAATCATCATCTTGTTGAAATGTCAACATCCATTCGCTCTGCTGTAAGTTATCACAGCTTATGAATTGTGCTCACATATGCGGTATGATTTGAATGTTAATGCGATTTTAGAGGTAGATTTATTGTCGTTAAATTCTAATCGTTCTAATGAAATGATTAAAACGTTGGTTTTTTTTCCCCGGTCTCGGTTGAGTATCTCTCCATTATCGTATTAATAAAACCAGTGCAATGTACGAAAATCTCAGTTTATTGCATGCGACAAAAAAAAACCCCATGACAAATTTGTATATGCAACTAAAGCATGTCGTATTTCTTCTTAGAAAGAGATCAACATGTGGAATATCCGAATGCGCGGGCCTACACAAACGCATTCACATCGTAAGGATGGTATAAAATGCGTGCGCTGTATGACGTATGTATCACTTAAAAGCGGGGAATCACGCTACACGTATGCTATCGAAAGAAATGTGTACACTGTAGCTGGCCAATTACAGTTCCACGAACGCAAACGCATCGTGCATCGGGCACAACAGTGAGCCCGTGAGAAAGAGAGAAACATGTTGATGGATTTTAAATGGCCCATAGTAAACAGCATTTATATCGCATTTTTATTCTCTGATATCAATATATTCTTGTCTTATGCCTGGCATGCTGTCGTAATGATTAAAGACGATCATCTTCGTCTTCTGTTCAACACACATTTAAAATGCTAAACGTAAACTGATAGCGTCACATGGTTTTTTTTTTATTGTTGTTGTATTTTTTTTTCGTATTCAAATTGGTGTCATTAATGCTGTGTCGACGTTTTCCGTTTGCTTCCATGTTTCTTTGTTTTTGTCTCTCTGCTCCATTTCGAGCAAATGAATGAATAATCATTGTTTGTTTTATATGCGATCAAATTCATTGGAAGAAATTTCGGAAGTTTCTCTCTTCCTACCGTCTTCGAAGTTATGTTTTAGAAACATTTTCTTTTTGTTATTTAACTGGTGTCATTCATGCTGGATTTGATCCAATTTTCGTGTATAAATATGTCCATTGTCGAGCAATTATCATTCAGTCATTTGTTGCCGATCGCGCCGTATAATTCATTGATTCACAATGAAGCGAGTCATTTTGTTGGTTGCACTGATTGCAGTGCATGGCATTCAGTGTCGCAGCATTTCGTTACCACTCACATCGTCCGACGAACAAAGTGAACACTTTGGTAACGTACTGAAACGGGAAAAGAAATCAACACCGGTATGTGTATATTGAACATTTTCTAACTGCATTGGGAATCCCCATTTCTTCTTCGACGTAATCAGTTTTTTTCCTTACTCGTTTGATATCTCATTGCATCGTCTTTCGTTTCACTTCAGGAAAATCCCTCCGTATATGAGCAACAAATTAGCGCACAAAACCCACTGTTGCCGTCGCTCATTGAGAAACATAGATCATTACCAGCCGCACCAGTTTACTCAGGTAATAACGACTATCAGGTTTTCAATTTGAACACTACATTATAATTTAATTTAGCTATAAACTTTATGATCTTCTCTGAATATCATTTATGTAGGTGCCGGTTTGCCTGTTCCTGGTTCAATCTACCCAGGTGATTTTTGTTAAAATATTTAGCTCAGTTACGATTTGGTTTGAATTCAAATTTATTTGACATTTTTTTTGATGTCCAATACCAATTTCGGTTAGAAGATGTGTAAAATTCTTGATGAAATTTCGACTAACCAATTTTAAAATCTTTTCTTTATTTCAGCTCCGAATTATCCACATGCAGGTCAGCAGCATCATCATCACAACCATCACCACCACCATGCACATCATCCATATGGCATTAATGGTCAACCAGACGCAATCCCATCACTTTATCCGGCTCATCCAAAGCCACTTCCGTTGCCAGCTTTCCCAAAGCCTGGAGAAGTGATCAAAAAATTTCGGTCAATGTTTGATGAGGATGATGATGTCGAGGTGATCGATGAAAATGGAACACAGCCGCCATCGTCGTTTGGAGGTGAACTACAACCGTCACCGAGAACGTATTATCCGCCTGTCCCATCACAATATCCACTTCCACAGTACCTTCCACAGCAATATCCACAATACGTGCCGAGGTATGAGCAGCCACCAAAACACGAGGCACCACCAAAATACGAGCCAACACCCAAGTACGAACCGAAGCCAATTTATGAAAATCCAGCCGCTGCTGTTCCAAAATACGTGCCACAATACCGGCCACCACAGTATTCGTCAGCGCCATGCGGTTCCAACTTGCTCATCGGTTGTCAACCGCGCGTGCAGGCGGTGCCATGCTATCCTCCGTCATCGTATAGTGCGCCACCTGCACATAGTCAGAGCTACAAGCCACCAAATCCGACGGGATATCCTCCTGTTCCTCTTGTTAAACCTGCTGCTGCTGTCTATTTACAACCTGGTCCACCCTACCCTGAACCTGTTACATTATCCGCTTCCAATGCACGAAACCAAGTACAAACGGAAAACACGGAAAATACATCGCCGATTGAGCAACGACAAGACAGCGAACCCGAATCAAGTAACATTGAACGGAAGACGAATGAGAGTGACCATGAGGCTGAGGATCTAGTTGGTACAGCAAACGTTTATCCAAAAACAGACGCAACAACCGAACCACCAACAACAACCACTACCATGACAACGACGACGACGACCACCACAGCACCAGCACCAGCAACAACGACAACGCTGAAACCATCTACTGAAGAGCAAATCCGAAGATTGCATGAAAAACTCGACAATCATTTGGAAGATATTAAAAGATTGAAAGAGGATTCAGGAAAGAGACTGAGAGCAGCGATCGAACGATCGAATTCTCGATCGGCTGTAGATGAATTTGAGGATATGGCGAACATTTTCGATGAATCGGCGCCGTTTGCAAAACGACATTCGTTGAATCGTGACTTGGCTGACAACACAGTTTGGTAGTTTGAACCCCGTGCGTCGCCAATTTAAATGATCGGTTCCGTTTCTCACGACAATTTACGGAAATTGCTCCACATTTCAGCATTCATTTTGATATTTCCTTTATTTGTTGTTTTGTTTCTATTTATTTACTTATTTATTATTAATAAACATGAAATCATCAGTATTTAAATCGTTAAATGAAACTGCTTTGGTTTCGTTATTTTTAGTCATTGAACACAACCACAACAGATTTATTGTTTTGCAACAAAAGCAACATTGCATTGAAGATAGTGTGCAGAGATTGAAACGTTTGAAAAAAAAAAAAAATAGCAATATGGTCCCCCACGTACAGTGTGTTGATCATTTACAGCCATTCCATGTTGACACTTCATTGTACTAAGTGTGGCGCGAGCGTATTCATCCATTTATTCATTCGCTCGTTCTGAGGATTGTTTTTTTTCTTTCTTTCTAATAAAACATGATAATAAATATTAAAGCATGACATTAAATACTGATTTTGATAAACTTTTAATTGCACGCTTTTATGAGCAACACAAAGCCTATAGCATTTAATGCCTTTGAACAGTTGCAACAGGTGACTCCGAACGTAAGCGCTAGCTACACAAAAATTTCAAAGTATCGAACGCTACGGAATTTCTACACATATCAATATGCGTTATTAAATGTCATGCTTGGGATTTTTTTGTGTCTGAACAAAAAAAAAGTAATGCGGTCAATCTACTCATTACAGCTGGTGAATGTGATGGCAATTCATGTGAAAAAAAAACAACAGCAACTGAGTACGATAAGGGGATCTACCGATGCTTGGAAATATTTTCACAATCATAATTCTTCGATGCTGTTAAGTTTTAAATTTTGCCAAAAGAAAATGGTATGAGTCGTTAATTAGCGCCGCTGAGAGAAAAATAAACCCTTTTGACATACGTATTTTTCATATCTGGACGGGCCGAGAACAACATGCGTTTCGCACACCTACACACTTACCAACACCGAAACAAAAAAACTTTACCTTGGCATCAATTAGAATTCTAAATTGCTTCTGTATGCTTCGTCTACGATTTGAAAAATGAATAGAACAACAGCAACAAAAAAATGCAACGACAACAACAGTGAATAAATTTAAACTTATTGAAAACGAAGTGAAATCAATAAAATACCTGCAAAATAAGTCAAATCGCGCGCGCTCACAGTGCATTATCGTTTTGATTAAATGCGCATTCTAGTTAGTATATATCGGCTGGTAATAAAATGTTGAATTCTGAGACTCAAACACATACGCACCAACAGTGTGCTGCCTCACATTGACCAAACAACCATACAATAACAACAGTGCAGCAACAGCAGCAGAACTGCGGCATAATTCATAGACGAGATTCGATTGAAATATCACTTTACATTTTTTTTCATAATTCATATTAATATAATAATCATAGTTGCATATATGTTTTATACCGTCTGGCTGACTGAGTGACTGGATGATGTGGTGTTTGTGTGTGTTCAATGATATTTGTATGCGTGCCGCTGCTGTTTGTATTGTTATTTGCATGAATTTCAATGCTCAGAATCGAATCAATCTCGCACGCATTTTCCAAGAAATGAAGACGAATCGTAGCCGGCGCATTTGTGTGCGCATAAAAGAGAGAAACGAGAAAAAAATTGATGCGAAAATGATCAACATCATTGAGATCAAAGTGTCATATTTTTACTTTGAACAGTTTGCGTGATAGCAGCCGTATATATTGTTTTGTTTTGTAAGCGTTGACCCTGACATCGAATCCAATGGTTCAGCACACAATTTATAGTGTTTCGATATGAAGCGATATTGTACTCATTTGCTGATTGTCATTAACATCTTGTTCTGGTTTATTTTTTACTTTATTTTTTTTTTTTTCATCTTTTTCATAATTCAATGTGAACTGTTTCATTCTTTCGGTTTGTTTGTGTTATTTTTTTTCTGTCGAAGGCATCAAATTAAAATGAAAAACATATACGTATAAAGCCTGACATCAGCTGACGTCTCGTTGTGGCTCGAAGTCTTCGAGCGTAGCACGTGTGCGTGCGTTTGTTCTGGTTTATTATTTCGTTTTGGTTTACGATTGAATATTAAAAGTCACCGCGTATGATATGTTCCGGTATTTGGCTTCAATGGAGTACCTTCGTCCATATGATTCATGTGCACACACACAATTTCATATGAATTAACCATTGGTGATTTATTTACCTAGTTTCTAGTCAAAACGAGTTATTAACCAAATTCAAATGTCGGAAATCATATGGCTGTTGTAATAAAAACGTTGAGCGCGTTATAAAAGATGTAAATATCATGAAAAAGTCTTTTGCTGTTTTATCTCTTGGATACGGGAAAGCAAAAACGGCGAACCAGACAGCAACAATAGCAGCAGCAGTAGCAGCGGCGGCGGCGGCGGCGGCAGAAATTCGTGTCATGTTGTGCTGGCCAAATGATATCATAAATCAAATTCGCCTCTAATGTTTCGTATCGGTTCGATGACGACTAATTAAACGGACACTTCCTCATTTACATTTCGCTTAACTAATTTCAATGAGTCCGACAACCATTTTATGCTCTCTTGGGCGAATGCTTAAAAAAACAAACGGGCTCAAGTGAGAACAGCAAAAAAAAAGAGTCCAATTCAAATCTACTCACATTCATTTTCCATACTAAAGTCAATGCATTGAACGAGCGCTAATAGCTAAGAGAGTGTGCGCGCGCATGATTATTTAGCCTTGAAAATACATGATTTAAATCTAAATTAAACATCACGAAAAAAAAGTGAATTGGATTCCGATGAATCAGCTGCAGTCAATGACAGATAGCTGAGGATATATGCTGTGCATAGAAACTCAGTAAGCTGAGATTGGGACATTTTGACTTTATGACGTGTAGTCCATATGAATGCATGATGAAATGCACGAAATTGTATGCGTGCCATCATAAATTTGTATGGAGTACACGTCATAAAGTCAAAATGTCCCAATCTCAGCTTACTGAGCTTCTATGCTCAGCATATATCCTCAGCTATCTGTCATTGACTGATCAGCTGAAACTTGTCAAGTCAAGTGCTCATACCGTATCGTAACACGCATATGTATGCATCTAGAATGCGCTCGACTTCACTATCGGTGCCGGTATTCTAAGTCATTCCACCAAAATCGTTCGGAATTATTTTTTTCGTACTTAAGACCATATTGGAGTAAAAGAGAGAGATTCCACTATTTGTCAGCGTGCCACCGGAATTATTTCTCACACAATCCACTCTTCCTTGAGTTATCGAAATAATTCCGGTGGCACGCTGAAAAATAGTGGACCCTCTCTCTTTCACTCCAATATGGTCTTATGTACGAAAAAAATAATTCCGAACGTTTTTGGTGGAATGACTTAGAATACCGGCACGGCTCTTGTAAGTTGCCGTTGTTCTTTTCACACTTATGCGTGTACACATAGATGCGGATCTCCTCACGGCGCACACACACACACACATACTCACAGCACAGAGAGTTTTTCAATTTGGAGTAGCTATGGACCGAACAATTCTCACAGCTCCTAAATTTAATTCCGGTTGTTTAAGGGACAATAAGCAAGAGCAAACCCGACAACAAGCATATTAGCAGAAAAGCGCCAATTCCATCTCAATCAAGCATCTTTTTTCACTGTTTTCGTATTGTTCCCATTGTGTTCTTTGCAATGACACACGAGACACTTGAAACAGAAGGATTTTTCCACGAATGCTGACTTAGTCTAGCTATATCATATCCTGTTAGCAATGTGTATCATATGAATTATTTGCGTAAATTGTTTTATGACCTACGTCAAATTGTATTGAACACGCTCATTCATTGTCATCTCTCACTGGATTGCCCCCTCTGCCTCTTTGCATTGCTGAAATCCTTTTAAGTATGAATGTTGCGAAAAGTAGAAAAATAAAATAACTGACCAGAATGTATTCAAGTTTTTTTTCTCTCCCTCTCCCACCATCGTTTTCTCTCTCACTCTCTATGCCTCTCTACACGTATTATTCATACGTTACGCAGAAAAAATAGAACAATTGTTTCCCGGAAAAAAAATCAACTTGGAAAACCAGTTGAACGGAATAAAGCAGTTCAAGAAAATTGAGAAATCATTGTTTTTATCAGATAATTGAATGTAAAAAAAAATCGAAACATACCACACACGCACACACACGCACACACACAACACACGGGTTTATAGAATGATTGCATGAATGAGTTACAGTTAAAATTAGATGACGCCATTTGTATTGAACGCAGCTGATCGAATTTGGATTCCGGTGTTCGATCAAAACGGTTTTTATCTTATTTCAAGCCCAGTTCAATCTCAATTATATGACAATATTGTGTTGCGCTTACGTATTTCACAGCAGTGACAAAAGAACAGCGATAACCGTAATTGGTCATTAAATTAATTCGCTTTGTTTAGATGCATTGAAGTGTTTTTTTTTCTGCAAAAAATGAAAACAATTCATACGTTTAAATAAGGTAAGTCGTTTCCAGTGCCTGATTTCGATCATATCAGCTGTTTTACATCGCAGCCAATGAATGCAAACAAAATGCGAGGCAGTTGTTCATTTCTCACAAATAAACATTAAAATAATTGTCATTTATACTTTCACATTCAAATAACGTAAAAGTTCAACGGCGTTGATTCAAATTTGTACTGATAATGTACTTTGGATTGTTGATCCTGTTCGTTGCGTGAATAAATCAGAAAAAAAAATCAACACGATATACATGCATTTATAGAACCGAACGTGATTGCCGTCTGTTTATATGTTTTGTTTTGTTCTTTAGTCGAACGATCAGCTTTTTTTTTTACAAGTATTGACTTCGTTTGTGGTATTGTCTCTTGCTTCTGATTAATCGGTTGCTGAAAAAGCATCGAACAGAAGATAAAAAAAATCCAGCATATTAAATGATTTATAAAAAAAAATCGCAGTCACACTGAAAGGCACTGAAAAGCAGCACAAAAAATCTTAACCGTACGCTACGTGACGAATGCACGACGCGCAAGTCTAGTACATACATCTAGAAACTATCTAGATGCAATTATTATGTGAAAATGCAAGCATTTGTTAAACCAATGTAACAATTGCGGTGTGTGACCTTCGCTTGAGCAGCGCGTTTACAAGAAATGAATCAACATCAC